AGCGTCTTAGGGTAACTCTCTATCAGTAGATTGCAGACAGTTTGTGTGCAGCCTTCATGCATTTCTGTTAGAACAACACAGAAACAGCAGCTGCAGTAATAAAGAAAACAACTCTGTTTTTATCAGGTGTGGATTCCGTGGAGGATACATGGAAGTTCTAAACCTGGACCCCGGGGTGAAAGTTCAACTTCAGAAGCTGGTCTCAGTTCGTCTTTGTCCCCCTGTCCCAGGGCAGGCTCTCCTGGAGACAGTTGTCAACTCACCACGGCCTGAAGAGCCCTCCTATCCTACGTTCATAAAGGTCTGATAAAACACACAAAGCCTTTCCTTTACATGTTCATCATTAGATGCTAAGAAAAATGTGTTATTTGTTTTTGTATTTGATTGTCATTCCACATGTTTTATCTTTGCACTCAGTCAGGGTTTAACATGAGAAATGTGGATTAAAAGTCTTTATCGTCCTCGTCATGTTGAACAGACTCCACTTAGGGCTAAACTGAAGGTCCAGTATTACAACATGGGTGTTGTAAAAAGATCATAGTCCTATTAAAAAAAGGTATAAAACACAAGGTGAAATGAGGTTCAGTGTGTCAACCAAAGGGACTTTGTGTCTTCAAGGTAGTGACTCTCATCAGTTTATACCTTGGGAATAAAACATATTTGTGTTGTTTTTTTCTTGATGCTCTCAAAGTTGTTAGTTCAAGACACCCACGTGGCACTGCGTCAACTGCAGATAATCAGCTTTTTTCATATCGTATCATTAAAGCTACTTTGTTTCTTCTGGTTTGTGTCTTGCGTAGCATTTGCCGTGTCCAAAGTAGCGTGGTACAGTATCTGCATTATTGATGCTGTTGTAATGATAAAAGCATGATGTCGTCCAAGACATCCATTAGCTTAATAGCTATAGGTACTTTGACTTGGCAGTCTGCAGATTTATAGTGGGATAAATTAAGTCAAAGATAATGTTCTGTAGTGAATGTAGTGTAGACACGCATGGATGTGGAGACGACATCTACGCCGCACATCTGACACAGCCCATTTACTGTCTGCTCCTCATTGACAATGACCTTGATCAACACCTTTAAGTCGGTAAACATCTCTGCACATTAAAGCAGGTCTCAGAGATTAAAAACAGACGAGGGCACATCACAATAAAGGAGATGGTATACTGTAGCTGGTCAGGTGATCAATACATATATGAATGCATTACATAACTGAATAATGTCTGTTGCCTGAAGCAAATAAGTCTTGGGAGTTGGCTTAACAGCAAATAATCATTCACGCAATTTCTGACAATTTTTTTTTACCATTTTCATTTGTTTCAGGAGAAGACAGCGGTGTTGGCAGCATTAGCAGAAAAAGCCAGGTTAACAGAACAGACCTTTAACACAGTACCTGGCATTGTGTGTAATCCAGTCCAAGGGGCCATGTACACTTTCCCCCGCATCACTCTACCTCAGAAGGCCATAGACAAGGCTAAGGTTTGCACTTCAGCGGCTCCATCACACTGATATACTGTACGGCTGTATAGTATTTGATAACATTTATGTGCAAATGTGTCTGTTTCTGCGTCTACAGGAAAGTGGTCACCAACCAGACATGTACTATTGTTTGAGGCTTCTGGATGAAGAGGGCATCTGTCTGGTACCAGGTAGTGGGTTTGGGCAAAAGGAGGGAACCTTCCACTTCAGGTGAGCGCACCAGCTCTAGTAGTTTTGTCATTTAACATAAAAATCAAACAATTTCTCTTCTCCTTTTTTCCAGAATGACCATCTTACCTCCCACTGAGAAACTGAAGCTCATGCTGGAGAGGATCAGTCAGTTCCATCAGCGCTTTACACAGGAGTTTTCCTAACAACACACTGTCTTCCCAACCCAATCAATTTACCCCTGGATCTTCAATTGCCTTGAAATCTGTTTCATTATAGGAAAAAAACATCTTTTGAACTAGTGAAAACATGTACATGTCATAATTCTCTTTGTAACATGTAGAAGATAAAATACTGCTTTGTCTAGTTTTGTTTCATTGCATCCTACACTTGATGCACTTTTATCTGTTATGATGCTAACCTAATCAGATTAGGTGATAAATGACACATGGAGCCGTACAGCTTCATCTGTTCTGTAACACACAGGTCTTAAACTATGCAGCAGGTCAAGTTTTAATGGAGCCACGGTAAGGCCAGTGAATCAGTCACTGCACTTGGATAAAGTCCCTGTCCAGTGTGAGCACTCTGCCCACAGTAGTTTTTTTTTTTGTAAACACATTTTCATTTAGTTGAATTGTATGTGCTACAGCTGTGTTGTCATCTTCTGTCCAGGCTTGACACTCATATTAGTCTCCAGGTAATTTTGACTTTGTGAAAAAGAGACTACAGGAAGCCAGAGGTGAGCATTATTACCCATCTTTCAATTTGTTTCTATTGGCCACATCTGGAGCACTCTTGTCACTGGTGTCACCCTGTAGATGGGAGAGGAAAGGTAAACCTCTAAGATTTGTAAGTCACGTCACAAAGTTGGTGCTGATTGTCTTTAATAAGGTGTCACTTTCATTTGTGGGGCTGATGGGACCTGGATTTCTACCGCTGATCATACAGATAATGTATGTTTAATGTGTAGTCCGAGTTACTGGAGAAGGAGGTGGTGAAGCTGTGTAACCTCAAAGGACGTAGCAAATATTATATTAAAGTAATGAATTACCTTAAACAAAGTCAAATCACCTTCTGATTTCTGGTACAAAAGAAAGCACTAGCGTGTACACACTTCAAGTGTTGGCACACAAAGCTGCCAACTTTTTGTGTTTTATTTAAAAATTGTCAACAGTGCTTACATGCCTTCAGAAACTGAAAAAAAGTCAAATCTCTTGGAATGAACAGAAACCAAATGAATTTTTGAACATAGGAATCATCTCTGTAACTCACTTACACTGCCCCGATCTCACTAAGGTCCCTTTTTCCTGTTCCTCAAAGTCTCTGCTTGAGAAAATGATTCAAAGTTCGTCTTTCTTCTGTGACAGTTTTGTGGCGTGTTTCTCCACAAACTTGCTCAAACCTTCCACTGTTCTGTCCCCACCTTCCAATTTGACAGGGTTCTGCTTGCTGTTACTGGGTGCAAAATATATCGTAGGGAAGCCTTCCACTTTGTAGCTGTCGTATGGCACGTCGTTGGCTGTGGCGTCCATCTTGGCGATCACAAGGTTCTTCTCCCCCTTGTATTTTTTGCCCAAAGCCAAATATTCAGGCTCTATTTTCTTGCAGTGGCCACACCACGGAGCGTAAAACTCGATGAGGACGTCCTTCTGGGAGTCCATTACAATATCATCAAAGGTTTTTCCAACTACCACCTTCACTGGACCTTTGTTGTTCTTTGGCGCTGGCTGAGACTTGATAATAGGTTTCAGCTTTCCTGTGGAGGAGAAATGGACTTCAGTGACATCTTAAAGAAAAGCCATTTCCTTTTCTATATGATCCAGTCCTTTAAAATGTTTAATCTTCTGACTTCAAACAAAAAAAATTACCTTTTTTGAATGACACGACAAAGTCTTGAAGCACGTCTGAGTCAAACTCCTCTGGTTCCATAGCAAACTTTTTCCCTCCTTCGTCCAGAATTCCCACGTTCACTTCCTCTCCACTCTCACTTAGACCCATACTCTTCAGCTCCTCGGCGTAGTCTTCCTCATCAGCGATGGCAAATGTATATTCTGGATAGTCCTTGGCCACCTCCAGTACCTTTGACCTCCAGAACTGAGTAGCTAACAAATGTAAGAAGTGAAGTGAAAATGGATTTAGAGTCTGAAAGTTCAAAGATGTTTATCACCTACTGGTGGTTGTTGAGACTTACCTTTCCTGTAGTCAAAGCTAAAGTCAACTCCATAGTAAACCACCACCAGGGGGCGTTTGGCATATCGTTTGGCATCATTGCTGGGTTTCCTGTGGCCCACCAGAGGGATCACGTGATCTTTGAAGAAGTCCTGAACTTCTGACACTGCTGTAGATTCCTGTGAAATTGATTCACTAACCTTAAAAACTGCACTGTAATCAAAATCTAATCTGTTGTAATAAAAATGCAGTACCTTCACAGTGACTGTGTGTGATGCTGGCTCGTACTTAGAGCGGAACTTTTCAGGCTGAATAATAACAATCTGACCAGGAGACGCTTTTAGAAGTTTGGCCACTTCAGAGCTGAAGGAGTGACGGAAGGTGAAGTCTTCTCTCAGTGTGTTACCTGCCAGACAGATGAGCAGAAAGTTACAGCCAAGCCCCTTTTTTTAAAGAAACCTAATGACTCACATCCACCTGAGTTCTGACTCACACGCCTCGACGTAGATCTCATAACTTGCGTCCTGTTCGCTGGAGAACAATCCGACTATCACGGCATCGTCACCATCCTTGATGAGCTCCTGCACCTGTTTGGCTGCCTGGACCTGCTTGGAAGGAGGTCCTGCTTGCTCACTCATGTGGTCAACGATGCCTGGAGAGAAAGTGAAAGATGTAGAATTGACTTCCTGTTGAGCAGGAAGCACATTGGCACACAGATCATCTTACAAAGCTTTGCTGAAGCTGTTTGACAGCTGCCTCTCTGCACCTGTCTGATATTTTCAGATTAAATACTGGCAGCGTGGAGAGAACTCCTTGAACCCTGTACTTGACGAGCAGGAATCTACTAACAATAGATCATCAGGGTGTGTGAGCCGATGTTTGATCCACACGATTGTTTTAGTTTTAACAATTCACACGTGTCTTTTCTGCATAATACACAAACTATAATGCAAATGCTAAAAATACACAGGAGCTCTAAGATCAGCACTGGAGCATTTCCATGAATGAACATACAATGACATGGAAAGAAGGCATTGTATCAGTAGTTAGTAATTGTAGCAACACACTGTTAATGAATATGGTAAACTTGGACAGTGGTTGTAGATTAGCTGGTTAGAGGTAGTAGATAGGTTAGTGTTAGTAGTATTACTAGATTAGTAGATAATTATTGTTGACGCACATCAGTAATAGTTGTTTGTTACTAGACTAACAAAAGAGCAACCAAAAATGTATGTGCTATAATATGGTGCATTCATCACTAATACTGCAAAGGAGTTTGACACCTGTGTTATAGATTACTTTTTTAAAGGTTTAAGTTAAGTTTGCATAATCTGGAACTGAACATTATGTCACACTCGGCTTCACTGAAGAACCATATGTTTATAACTACTATGAATTATAGTTGTTCTTAAACAATTGCTTTTGCCTTCAGAAGTGCCTCAATTCTTTGTGGCATAGATTCAACAAGGTGCTGGAAGCATTCCTCAGAGAGTTTGGTCCATATTGACATGATGGCATCACACAGTTGCCGCAGATTTGTCGGCTGCACATCCATGATGCGAATCTCCCGTTCCACCACATCCCAAAGATGCTCTATTGGATTGAGATCTGGTGACTGTGGAGGCCATTTGAGTACAGTGAACTCATTGTCATGTTCAAGAAACCAGTCTGAGATGATTCCAGCTTTATGACATGGCGCATTACCCTGCTGAAAGTAGCCATCAGAAGTTGGGTACATTGTGGTCATAAAGGGATGGACATGGTCAGCAACAATACTCAGGTAGGCTGTGGCATTGCAACGATGCTCAATTGGTACCAAGGGGCCCAAAGAGTGCCAAGAAAATATTCCCCACACCATTACACCACCACCACCCGCCTGAACCGTTGATACAAGGCAGGATGGATCCATGCTTTCATGTTGTCGACGCCAAATTCTGAGCCTACCATCCGAATGTCGCAGCAGAAATCGAGACTCATCAGACCAGGCAACGTTTTTCCAATCTTCTATTGTCCAATTTCGATGAGCTTGTGCAAATTGTAGCCTCAGTTTCCTGTTCTTAGCTGAAAGGAGTGGCACCCGGTGTGGTCTTCTGCTGCTGTAGCCCATCTGCCTCAAAGTTCGACGTACTGTGCGTTCAGAGATGCTCTTCTGCCTACCTTGGTTGTAACGGGTGGTTATTTGAGTCACTGTTGCCTTTCTATCAGCTCGAACCAGTCTGGCCATTCTCCTCTGACCTCTGGCATCAACAAGGCATTTCCGCCCACAGAACTGCCGCTCACTGGATATTTTTTCTTTTTCTGACCATTCTCTGTAAACCCTAGAGATGGTTGTGCGTGAAAATCCCAGTAGATCAGCAGTTTCTGAAATACTCAGACCAGCCCTTCTGGCACCAACAACCATGCCACGTTCAAAGTCACTCAAATCACCTTTCTTCCCCATACTGATGCTCGGTTTGAACTGCAGGAGATTGTCTTGACCATGTCTACATGCCTAAATGCACTGAGTTGCCGCCATGTGATTGGCTGATTAGAAATTAAGTGTTAACGAGCAGTTGGACAGGTGTACCTAATAAAGTGGCCGGTGAGTGTATATTGCTGTAGTACAATCAGATTTAGGTACTGACAGTTGGTGACCTACCATACTTCTCTCTGGGTCCGTTGTAGTCAAACACTTTGCCTTTCCTGAAGATCTTCAGGGTAGGATAACCTGAGACTCCAAAACGTGAGGCGAGCTCACTCTCCAAGGTGGCATCAACCTTGGCCAGAGGGATGGGAGGACTTCTCTCGCTCAGCTCCTTGGCTGCCTTCTCGTATTCTGGGGCCAAGCGCTTGCAGTGCCCACACCTGGAGGCCAGTTACATGAGGAGAACCTTTTAGGAACTGGTTTAAAACATCTGATATTCACAATAACAATTAAAGCATCCTTTCTGACCATGGGGCGTAGAACTCCACCAGGATGATGTCTGCATTGTTTACTGTCTCATCAAAGTTGTCTTTGGTCAGCACCAGCGTGGCCTCAGGTGGAGGTTTCCAGTCAGGCAGAGACACTTCTTTCACTCTCTCAACGATGGCTGTAGCAAAACACAAGTTCACACATGTCACTTCCATACTGTATAAGGACAAGAGTGTGTCCGTGCTGAACGACTATGTGCTTTTACCGCTCTGTGACCGGTCTCCGTCGTAGTCCAACGGCTCCCCGTTCTTGAGGATCTTGATGGTGGGATAACCCGACACGTCGAACTTGCTTGCTAAGGTAGTGGCTACTGTTGCGTCCACTTTAGCCACAGGTATGGGAGGATCGTTCTCCTTCAGAGTCTGTGCAATTTTTTCATACTCTGGCGCAAACTGCTTGCAATGACCACACCTGAGAGGATGTTTTCACCAAGTAGGTTAAGAATTGAAATTGGTATTTTTAAGATTCTTTATTCATTCATTGGTGGTGCTGAAGAGGTTAAACTTACCACGGAGCATAAAACTCCACTAAAACTGTGTCCTTTCCCTCAATAAAAGTTTCAAAGTTGTTGTCAGTGAGAACTAGAACCCCATTCTCTTCTTTCACTTCTGTGTCATCATCGTCATCATCATCGTCGTCATCATCTTCGTTATCATCATCATCATCATCATCATCCACTTCCTCCTTCTCTGTTAGGTCTAGAGGAAAAAAAAACGTTTTGCAGGTTTCAGTAAGTGGAAGTGTAATTGTCAGTGTGTGGCAGCCACCAACAGGCAGAGTGAGAGAATTACACATTGGACTGCTGCGCTAATTACTTCATTGCACACGTGAAATGAAAAGATTAGTTGGAACAGTTTTGACTGAAGTGATCCTTGAATTTGTTTTCTGTTCATATCCAGTGGCTTTTCTGTGAAAATTCCAGCAGTGCTCAGACCTGCTCAACTAACTAACACCACCAACCCCGCCTGGTTATAACGCAAACCAAATGTTTTGAACGTGTTGAATGTGTTTGAATCACCTCAGTATATTTGACATCACATGGCAGTCTTTAGTTTCACGATTGTGTGGAATGTATGGTAATTTAACTGTAATCTCATAAACCAACCATTTATATCACCACCTCTCCACATTCAAATCTTATGTTTGAACTTTAATAGTTGGTTCCAACTTGCAATGCAAAGCAAACGCCTGGAGTAACTGATTTGATTTAAGGATGGAGCAGTTCCCATGTGAATCCCTAATAAACAGGACTTACATGGGAACTAGTTCTAAGTTTCAGAATGAGATCAATTAATTGACAAGAATTTACAATAGAAAAGATGAATACTGAAAAAAAATCCTTAATTTGTATGCACATTGGTGCAAAGGTGATAAGTCACATAATAGTACGCAGTAGTAGAACTTAGTAAATTATATATAGTTATTTCAACAATTGCTATATATATAGTTGGAATTATCTCAGTGTGAAAGTGAGTTCTGTTGACATTAGCAAACCTTACTGTTAGCATGTTGCTAAAAGCTGTAAATGAACCCACTGCATGGCCAATTAACAACTTAACTTAGCGTAGTTCGCACATATTTAAATAATTGCAGAAAAATAACACAACGACTGCAATTAAAGATGTAAACACTCACCATCTTCACATTTACTGACAGTTGCGAAAAGGGCAACGCCGAGCAGCACAATGAGCAGCAGAGCAACCTTCCTCATTGTCCACTGATGATGATTGTGATGGTGCGCAGTTCTAGTAGTTCGTTCTGTGCAAAATAGCAGCTAATCTGATCTGATCCGTCAGTGCAGAGTCATTAAAGTGCTCGCCGCTGGTGTTGTCCAGATTAACGCTGCAAGTCGTGTGTGATTTCATACAAACTAATCACTTTCTGAAATCACACTCGTCGCCTCCTCCGTCTGGAACTTGTCTGACTTGCCATGTTGTGATTGGCTGATGGCCTTCGCTGCCCTCCAATCATAGAGCGCCACTCCAGTCCAGACTCAGAGACGTTGGAGGATGTCATTGGACGGTTTCAATGATTTGCCTTCCTGTCTCTCACATTTTTGAGTTAAAAATATATAAATTTTGTAATTGGTTAATACTTTTTTTGCAAATAAATGTTACTCTAATGTATTTTCGACTACAACAGCTGACTATTTAAGGCTTCTTTTTTCCTGGTTCCTTTTCTTCATCCAATCTTTTCCTTTACCTTTAGAGACACATTTAAATATATATACCAAAACGTATTAAACACAAATTCAATCAAAATCAGGACAACGCAATAATCAGCTATCATGCTCCCTGACACTATGGTTGGATTTATTCGAGTTAGTTCCAGAAATTATTAAAAACAGAACGATAAACAATAATAATAATTTAAAAAACCAATACAGAGTATAATCATGCAGTATACACTGTCGTGGTAAGGTTTTACCACCCCAGGTTCGTTGATCTAGAACTTTCACAAAGTACAAAGAAAAGACAAAGATCGTTCACCTGTCCACAGGGAGAGTCCAGCGGAGAGTCAGGGGGTTGACTGCTGAATCCTCCTCTCTCCCCAAACTCAGGCTCTTTTATTCTCTCCAACATCCAGGGGGTACATGTCAAGTGGTACAGACTTCGTTTGTTCTACGCACACACATACATTTTGACAACAACATCTACTCCCTTGGTTTCTCATCCTGTTCTTATCGCACCTAGGTGCTGTTGTTGTGACCCTATGCTCTAACCATGAACCTAGCCGTTGTCAAATTGTGATCTACTAGTTTCTGATCCCCATCTCACCAAGTACTCCTCTTGTAACAACAAACCTTGGTGCACCTCAACCTTGCAGCTCCTTTTCTTACAGCTGCATATTTTCAGTTTTAGCTTTAAGCAGCATTTTATGTTCAAGCTGGTTATATGTTTTAGCACATCTCTTATGATTATTTATTCTATTATAAAACATGATTATATATGTTGCATACTTCTATAAACTATGAACATATGAATACATTTCATCCACAACACTTAACTTAAGAACTGAAGCTCTAACACTCCTGAGTTTTGGATGGTTTGCATTGCATTTGTCAAATTTGATCCAACTATACACCTTCAGGATCTTCATGTACCAGCACTTCTACCACCACCGCTCTCTGCACAGCCTGGGTCTTGTGAGTGTGTGATGGTGAATCTGAGAGGGATAGACATCTTTGACCTTTTAGATACATCTGAAGCTCCCTGTTGATTGGAAAGTTCCAATTTCTTTGCTCAGTTTGCTGTGGGTTATCACATTCAGGTACAATCTCCGAGGGGGTCGTGCTTCTCAGATGACCTTTCTGCTGTGGGAACTGTGTCATCTCCGCCTCAAGTTTGGATCTGATCGTACGGAAAAATCTTGTTTAAGATATTTAATACTATCTAATTGACTGATGGAGAACTTTTTCAATACCTTTGTGTTTCCTCTCTCGTTTGAAGTCCTAAAAGGTCCTGTATCATAAAGACAAAGTTAAAAAAATTATTGATCTTTTCTACTACTTCGTCCAGTTGCCCTCGATGGAACTATTTTTGGATTAACCTTTAAAAAAAAAAAACACTGGTGCAGGCACTTGTAGGTGCAATTTGTCGAGTGCTGCTTAGGAGCACTCGGTGTTATCAACCAGTCTCAAATTAATAACACAACCAGTCTCATTAAAGTTATCTTTAATTATTATTTTAACCTACTAATATAGCAATAATGTATTACTTGAAGTATTACAAATATACTAAAATCAATAGTATCCAATAACAATTAAATATCTGAAGGATTTTGAGAGTTCTTGGCAAATTGGGTGGCTTCAATGAATAAAGTAACAACACAGACAAACACAGTTTACAAAAATAATCAAATTTATTTATACAACACTGTCAAGTTAATGACGGTGATTGAACTCATAAACAATGATCATTATAACAAAACAAGGCGTGTGTAGGTGTGTGTGTCTGTGTGTGTGTACTTATGTGCGTGTGTACACGAGTGGTCGTGTACGAGAGAGAGATGTTGCCTCTTAGCCACCAAGCAAGCGACTGAGCCCTTGAGGCGTGTTCACATACGCGACTGCGCAGTGGAAGAAGAACTGCGAGGTAGAAGGAACGGCAACAGGAAACACGTGAGGCGTGTATGCGCTCACGGAGGTGTGAATGGGTGTTGTGTACGCGCACCAAGATGCGCTCAGGTACAATGAAACAGTGCTTGTGATGTTATCAAAGTATATGGGGGAAGGGAGGCGTACCGCGTGGTCTACTCCAGGGGAGGGGATTTTAGGGACCTGAGCTGCACGAAATGCGTGCGCCCGGAGAGGTAGGAAGTGAACCAGTCAAGGGGAGTGTGGGAGATGCCAATAGAGGTTAGTCGACTGAGAAGGGTGGTGTGACAGATGGTATCAAAAGCTGCAGACAGGTCGAGGAGGATGAGGATGGTGAGGAGTCCAGAGTCAGAAGCCATGAGGAGGTCGTTAGTAATTTTTGTGAGTGCTGTTTCAGTGCTGTGGAGTGGGCGGAAACCAGACTGGAACTGTTCATACAGGTTATTGTGGGATAGGTGAGAGTGGAGCTGAGATGCAACTGTTTTTTCAAGGATTTTGGAAATGAAGGGTAGATTGGAAATGGGACGGAAGTTGTTGAAGATGGAGGGGTCAGCACCAGGTTTTTTTAGAATTGGGGTAAACACAGTGGTGAGAGAGGAGTGGATGATGGCAGTGATGAGGGGGGCCAGAGAGGGAAGACAGATTTTAACAAGTTGAGTGGGGAGGGGGTCCAGTTGACAGGTGGAAGGTTTGGATTTCTTGATTAGAACGGAGATTTCTGTAGGAGTGGGGAGCAAAAATGAGGAAAGGGAAAGTATGGATGGGGGAGGGGCAGGGGGGGGGGTATGGGGAGGCAATGTACCAAGATTATGGTGAATTTTATTGATTTTTTCATTGAAAAATGACATGATGGCATTACAGAAGGATGTGGTGTATAGGTGGGCGGGGAGAGAGTCCTGGGATTTGGTGTTCTTGTTAAGAATGTAGAAAAGTGATTTGGAGTTTCCTTTGTTGGCTGTGATTAGGTTGGAATAGTATTGTGATTTGGCGGTGTAAATTGAATCCTTATAACTTAAGAGATGATTATTGTACATTTCTTTGTGTATTGTGAGACCAGTTTTTCTGTAAAGGCGTTCAAGCTGCCGACCTCTGGCTTTCATGAGCCGGAGGTCGGGAGTGAACCAAGGAGCAGAGACGGTGAAGGAGACAGATTTGTTTTTTAACGGGGCGAGAGTGTCAAGGATAGTATGAAGTCCAGTGTTATAATTGGAGACCAGATCATCAAGGGTGGACAGACTATGAATGTTGAGGAGGGAGGAGGAGTTGATAGTTGTAGTCAGGGTGGTGGGGTTGATTTTCTTTATATTCCTGTAAGAGATGACACGAGGTGTTTTACGGATAGAGAGAGTGAGATTCACAGTGAAGGTGAGGAGGAAGTGATCCGTTATGGGGAGTTCATCAGCTGTTAGGTCAAGGGGAGTGACGCCAGAACAGCAGACTAAGTCCAGAGTGTGTCCTTTGGAATGGGTAGGAATGTTAGTATGCTGCTGACAGCCAAAACTCTGTAGGCAGGAGGTGAAATCCTTGGTGAGAGGCAGGTTGATGTTGTCCATGTGGATATTGAAGTCGCCTAGTAGGATTATGTGTGGGGACAGAGAGGATAGGTGGGTGAGAAAAACAGCAAAATCAGTTAAAAAGTCACTGTTCGGTTTAGGAGGGCGGTAGACAGCGGCGATGATGACTGGAGTGGGTCCAGACAGCTCACAGACAGTGGATTCGAATGAGGCAGAGACAGGCACAGATACCGGCGAGACTTTCCACTTCTCGCGATAGATTATCGCGAGACCACCTCCCCGTCCGAAAGCACGGGGTTGACAGATGTAAACAAACCCGTCAGGCGTGGATTCATTGAGCTGTGAGAAGTCTTGGGGCTGTTGCCACGTCTCTGTCAGGCAGAAGAAGTCCAATTTACGGTCCGTGATGAAGTCCTGGATGAGGTGACCCTTGTCTGTCAGCGAGCGAATGTTGAGCAGGGCAAAGTTGAGAGGCGTGCTGTCACAGTTGGTGGTGGTGTTAGCCGACCGAGCTAAGCAGGCTAGCACGTTATGGTTGACAGCCCGGCCGATGGAGAGTGGAGAGCGACGAGTTCGCGGTCGAAGACTGGACCAGAGGGACATGATCGCCGTGGAGCTGCCCAGCTGGAAATTCCGGCGAGACCCTCGGTGGACATATCTCCGGCGATGGTGGAAGGTGATGTCCGGGTGGAGGTGGAGTGCCTCTGGCATAGGACCCGGCCAGTGGTAGCGTAGCCGTAGCAAGTCAGAGGCCGAGTAGCAAAGCAGACCCGCAGACCCGCCACTGGTAGGTAGACGGGGAGCAGGAAGAACCAGGCACAGACAGGATCCATGCTCTGCCAACCCACGTTGTGGATGAAAACGCAATGATCGGCAGTAGCAAGACGTCCTTACCGGCGAGCAGCGGCAGCTAGTCGCACCAGCGTTCACTCCACCGAATTGACACACACCAATCTATGGTCCAGTTCATCCGCTGATGAATCCGGGATGTCATAAGACACCGGCTTGGGTGTGCCAAGGGATTTGGCTCTGGACGAGTATGGTATGGCTCCAGCATGACTATCTGATGGAGTCATTTTGTAGCGGTCTAGGATGATATGGTGGGCTGTCTGGTTTTGTCCAAGATGATTTTCAGTATCTTTATCGCAATAGTCTTCCTGTTCTGAATTTTTCTCTGGCAGTGGAGGAAAATGAGCAGGTATTGCTTGGGCGTGTTGGTTTTCACGGCACTTACGGCCGACTGTATCTTCCGCATTCACTTTATAACTTTTGCTGACTTCTCGCAGTTTGCGAGTAGATTCTGAGAGGGACACATTCATTAGCTGGAGTTCTCCTTTTAGCTCATGGTTTGCATGGGCCAAATCCTCCAGGTTACTGATCAGCTGTCACCTCCTTCATCTTGAAAAGGTGATTTCTCACGGCAGCTAGGAGCACACACAGGGAACAAGTGGAGCAAATCCGCTTTCTTCTCGTTCTCCAAACCAGCAGACAGTTGGCAGGTATGTCCATCACTTGATATGGTCACATATGTTTATTATTAAAAAACTATTTCACATGGTGTTTAATGACAACATGAGACACGTGTATCTGTCTTTCTTGCCTGCAGTATGTGGTTTATAGACCTGGCAGGAAGTGAAAGGGCATCAGACACCAAAAAAACAAACAGACACAGTCGCATAGAAGGAGCTGAGATCAACCAAAGTCTCTTAGCAGTAAGCTAAGTAAGTGATATGTTAACACACACAAAGAGCTCAAATACAGAAACAAAGGTCATTGTATTTACCTTTTATTTGTTTAAAGCTCAAAGAATTGTAGGTGCAATGGGTCGAGTGCTGCTTAGGAGCACTCGGTGTTATCAACCAGTCTCAAATTAATAACACAACCAGTCTCATTAAAGTTATCTTTAATTATTATTTTAACCTACTAATATAGCAATAATGTATTACTTGAAGTATTACAAATATACTAAAATCAATAGTATCCAATAACAATTAAATATCTGAAGGATTTTGAGAGTTCTTGGCAAATTGGGTGGCTTCAATGAATAAAGTAACAACACAGACAAATACAGTTTACAAAAATAATCAAATTTATTTATACAACACTGTCAAGTTAATGACGGTGATTGAACTCATAAACAATGATCATTATAACAAAACAAGGCGTGTGTGTAGGGGTGTGTGTGTACTTATGTGCGTGTGTACACGAGCGGTCGTGTACGAGAGAGAAAGAGAGAGAGAGATGTTGCCTCTCAGCTACCAAGCAAGCGACTGAGCCCTTGAGGCGTGTTCACATACGCGACTGCGCAGTGGAAGAAGAACTGCGAGGTAGAAGGAACGGCAACAGGAAACACGTGAGGCGTGTATGCGCTCACGGAGGTGTGAATGGGTGTTGTGTACGCGCACCAAGATGCGCTCAGGTACAATGAAACAGTGCTTGTGATGTTATCAAAGTATATGGGGGAAGGGAGGCGTACCGCGTGGTCTACTCCAGACAAAGGACTTTGTCGGAGTTTTCCTGATCCCAATACTGATAACGTTACAAGTTAACACTGAAATACTGACGGTGTACAAGAGTATAAGACCGAGTCAGGAGGTTAGAAAAGAAGTGCATGCAACAGCCTAGCTATAAAAGCAGCACAGATTTCAGACAACAAAATTCAATATGCGTACTTAAACTGTCCCTAAGTTTAAATAGCACTTAACAATACTACAGATTAACTAACGTGCCCAAATGCCAGCCTTACTGTAGTGAACGTCTGCTCGTATTTAGAGGGTAGTGGAAAGTCCGTGCTTCTTGGGTCCTTGCCAGAGCTGGGGACGTCCGTCTGGTTCCACTGTGTCCAGAGAGTCCTCTTGGTTCCGAAAGTCCGTTTCAGGAGGAAAAGTCTCTGACTGTCGATGTGCCGGTTCACACGAATACCGTTAGAAGGAATCCTGTCGCTTCTAACTTTTCAATAACTGCTTTGGTCGCAGCGCTACGTTACTTGTGTAACTTAATTACCGGTTAACTCAGTTAAGAAAAAGACGCTACTAGTGCATTTATCACCGTGGGCAATGGTGTCTACAAAAGCGCGTTGGTTCTTAGTCTTCTGAGACGAGCAGGTTTTCTCTTTTCATCGAGGTCCTACGGAGTGAAAGTCCTGAACAGAGAGAACGATATTGGGCTGACCCCCCAATTTAAAGGTTGCGGAGGTTACTGATCGTGACATATGTGGATTTACCGGAAGCAGTGGAATTATGGGAGTTCGAGTCCTTGAAAGGACTGTTGTAGTACCTACACACTTTGGAGGTCTCTTAGTGTATGGGACGTAAGCTTGGCTCACCTGTATATAAACATTGTTGCATGTACCTGTGAAGGTGAAGTGATGGGACTCTCCTCCTCCATGAAGTGATTGAGTTTTGGTGGTAGAGTGTGATGCAGAGAGTCGGTGAGAGCACTGAGTCTGAACAACAGCTCATCAACCAGGCTTTCAAACTCTTCAAGGTAGTAAGTCTGATAAAAGTGTGAAAAGAACTTGTTTAACAATTGCTCTGATTCAGAAATGTCAGTAAAACGTGACTGCTGTAGTCAGTACTGTTCTCACCTTGCTCTCCACGTGGTCATCTGTCCATTCTGGCTCACGCTTTATAAGAAATCCAGAAAACTTCTGTTTGATGTAGCAGTACAGATCCGTAACCGTCAAGTCATTTCTCCTGCTCTGAGATCGTCTAGAATGTCTGACCAAGGACGACACCACAGCCATTACCTACAAGTCAAAGATTAAAACTCAAAAAACAGTTTTTCTCAAAATTACATCTAACCTTTTTTAATTTTTTTATTTTTTACCAGAGCTGTCCACACAACTTTGGAAGACAGGTAGAGAATTCCCCAGTAGAGGGCGTCACATCCAGAGATGAGGAGGTTTTTGACAGGTCTGAAACCTTTGTGGTGACAGAGCAGAGTCAGGATTGAGCGGAGGCTGGAGCTGAAAGCCCACGACTTCTGTATGAACAGAAGATTCCCAGAACAGGACAGGGCCATGAGTAGGGTCACACCTAAAACCTAGAGAGGAAATATATATAAATATACCATCTGTGGGGTCAACTTCCCATGTAACCACAGCCTCAATTTTTATATGAATCACAAAAACCAAATGTGAAATCCTGATTTTTTTTAAGAGAAAGGGGTTGATAAGAGGGTGAGGTTGAAAGATGAAAAATTGTCAATTATTTCTTTTAATTTTTTATTTTTTTTACCATGGGCCAGAACAATCTGGACAGTAAGTGGGTCGACATCACAGCAGACGAAGCAATGTTTCGATTCAGCCTCAAGATGGATGCACTCTTCAGGGTCAGAAGGAAAAGTATAAGACCACGCAAATTACGAATGTCCTGCAGAGACAAGGGGACACTGTTATCTCTCTTGTCTTTTGTAATTTTATATTTATATTTAATATAATTTATAATTCTCATATTTTGCCTCTTGTTCATGTTTTCAAATAGCTACTTTTACAGGGCTGTCAATTGATTTGATTTTTGTAAAGAGAGAAATCATGATTAATCACTTACCCTAATGATTATTCATGATTAATCAAGATAAATTGTCATCACTATATACACAAGAGCTTTTTTTCTGTACTGTACATATTAATCCATGAATGTCATTGACACATTCAGGTGACATTGTTGGTCTCATCGCTTCATTGATTCTCTCACTTGTTCCCAGGAGGCCAGTGAGCTGACACCCACGTGTGTCCTGTGTCTCTGCAGCTGCTCTGCAGCATCCATGACGAGGACAGAGCGACGGACATCAAACACATGGTAGACTAGAGTCACCGTCAGCAGAGTGACCTGTAACAGAGAGGCACACAACAACAGTGAGGTTCGTTTTTCACTAGGAGCTGCTCTATTCCTTAACGGCTGACTTTTTATGACTCTGGGTTTGTGTGTTTTGTTTCACAGCTGTGTTAGTTTAAGAGCTGCAGGTTATTTTACCCTCCCGGCTGGGGCAGGGTGTTCTTGTTTGCACTGTTTCCTGCTTGTGTGTGTGTATAGGATCGTGTGTGTGGCCTCATATCTGGTTGACTGACTTCGAGCCAGTTGCAGGGCGTCTTCCAGTATCCCATCAGCCCTTGTTGCCTTACACTGCACATTTGAAGACAGAGGTGCAGAAGTGAGAGGAGGAGGAAGAGAAGCTGTGGGGAAAGGGAGAAAGTTCATGCAGAGCTGGAGGAATGCTTGTTTTCACTGTGTTTGGAATTTATTTTTCCTTGGGAGTTATCATTTCAACAGCTTTGATGACTAAAAAAACCGATAAAAACAAATAAATAAATAAAGACAGATTTTACCTGACAAACCATGACCATATAGTCCCACATAACAGGAGTGTGATGAACCCGCGCTGACTGGACTTTAGAAGAGACTGACAGTTCACCAGCTGGGCCTTGCTGAGTCAGCAGGGTCACACTGGTGAACAGGTTGAATGCAGGGCTGAACAAGGTGAAATGGACCTTCAGGGCCACCGTCTGATTGTCCAAGCCACCACCTGACCTCAGGAGATTCAGTCTGGACTCAGCCTCAGACCTGATGATGATACTGGATTTTACTGTTGTGCTGCAGACCATGCTACATGAGATTTGGAGAAAAACTTTATTATCTGTATTTCTCACTTTGTGTGACCTAAACTGATTGCAGGTCCAGGCCCAGGTCCAGGGTTGCAGCCCAGGAGAGTACATGTGGGAGCAGCAGGTGGAGCCAGAACAGCAGAGTCTGTGTTTGACGATCTCCTGTTCCCTGTCGAGAAAGATTGAAGAGATTCTGATGGAAGCTTCAGTCTGAAGATCTGAAAAAGACACAGACACAGCACAGAGAAAATGGTGAGGTGAGCCTCCTTTCTCATGTATGAAGTAAATATTTTATTTTTATGATCTACTTATTGATGACTTCTGAATCTATGATAAGAAAAAGGTCGAGCGGACCAGTTTGTTTCTGGTCCACTCTCCTTCTGTCACCTGTTCCCGGAGTGAGATATTCCTCTTCGTCTCCCACAGGATTGGAAGTCCAGTCAGGATGTGAGTTCTCTGATGGTTGTAAAATGTAGTTTTTTTTGCATTGATTAAATAAAAAAAGATAACTTGAATTAAAAATAATGTACTCCTCTTTTCATGAACCACAACCATTTAAAACAGCTGTGTTTCCAATGTTGTACAGCTAGAGCAGGCATGGGCAAACTATGGCCTGGGGGCCGGATGCAGCCCATTCAGCTTTTAAATTTTAAACTTTTTCAAATTATATGATTAATTTACTGTATACCATCACTGTACTGCTGTCTTTTCCCTGCAGTACCCATATTTCCCCAACAGATGGTGTAGAAAATGATAAAAGCATTTTAGCAATTTAGCCTTTATGCAGGACTTTTACATGTCATTTATCTTAATTCACAAAAACACAATTTTAGGACAATTGAGGCCCAGGACAAACATGTCACCTTACCTCAGTTTTAGTGGATTCATTCTGGTACAGTACATTTAGCAGATGGTTCTGTGTCCACTTCCACCAGTCGCCATGGTTTCGTAGGAACACGGAGTCTTTATCGCCAATATTCCTGTTACAGTATAAGGTAAGGTATGATTTAAACTACATGAAGTGCAGGAAGTGCAAAACAAGGAAAAACAATGAGTGAGAAAAAGCTTGACCTGCTGATGTGTTCTCTAACAGACTGGTTCAGGAGCTGGTGGTCACTGTTGGAGCTGCTGTTTGTTACACAGAGCAACAGGAGGATCATACAAACACAGACGCACCAATCCCTGGGTGGAAGAAGACAAATCAACTGAGTTTCTGAATAAGAAGCATCAAATTATACAAAGTGTTTGACTTAATATAACCGAACCTGACCTGAGGGTGTTGGAAATCAGCCTCTCTCTTCTCGCCCTCTTACGGCGTCTTTTCAGTTCTGCCTGAACTGGGGGGCGCACAAGTTGCAAGTACCGAGCCCTTTGACGAGCAACAAGCAGCTGTTGAACAAACAATAAGAGACAGAATCTAGTAACCGACTAAAATAGGACTCTTAGAACCATACTTTCTTTTATGCTCTTTTTCTGTGTGCAAATGGCAGAAATTCCAATCTAGAAAATGGCATTGTTTTTGGGTTGAAGGTGTAGTTGTCAGGGGTGTACAGCCCCACTACTGCTCACTACCTACTGAGGGCACTGTGACATGTAAAAGTCCTGCATAAAGGCTAAAATGCTTTTATCATTTTCTACGCTATCTATTGGAGAAATGTGGGTATTGCTGGGACAAGGCAGAAGTATAATAATTTGAATTATAAAATTTGGAAAAGTTTGGCAGGCAGGATTAAAGAAGAAACAAAAAACAGGTTGATCTGACAACATCTCTTGCGATCACCTTTTCAAAGCATAAGTTTGTTTGAAATCTGAACAGGTTCTCTTGTGAATCGGCACCACCGAAGCTGCAGAACTGTAACTCAAAGTCTTCAATTTTGGGGAAAGAATGAAAATCCGCTCTGTGTCTGCACCAAAGCGAGACAGTCACTGCCACAGCAAGAATCTGAAAAATAAAATAATCTCGTCATGTTTGAGCACAATGCCTGTATTCATTTGAAATGCAACGTAAGTGACACCTCACCACTGCAGGGTGGATGAAGAAGATGCAAGAAACCAAGGAGAAAACCAGAGCCTGGGCCCAGAGCAGGAGTTGGCTGCTGTTGAATCTGACACAGAAACACACAGAGGTCACCGTAAACACTGAATGTTTTAATAATAATTCACGAAACACAACCTCCTGGTACGTCTCCCACCTCGTCCCCAGCACTGACGACAGAAGCAGGCAGAAGAATGACAACAGCAGACAGAGGACCCAAGCCAAACAGTGCCACCACAGAATCGATGTTCCATTTTTCTGCGACGTGAAGTCGCCGGCCACGTGATACACACACTCAGATGTTCCTTGCAGAGCTTCATTCTTCTGAATGACTTCATTAGCATCCTTGTCTCCCTGGTTCCCACAGACTGAGGTGGTTTCCTCTGGATCTTCTCTTCCCTTTAATGTTTCATCATCATTTCTCTGCTTCACTTCCTCGTTAGTCATCAACACACCTGATTGGTTCACAGATCCGCTCTCCACTTCTTTATACTGCCGACTTGGAGCAGACACTGATACCAAGTTGCCACCCTTCAACACACAGAAGCAACAAATTAAAAATTAGAAAAAACCTTGAGAAAAAATGAGAAAATATGAACACCTGACTGTCTTTCTGACCTGGTGTTTCCTTCTCCAGGCTTCTTGAATCCACAGTTGAAGACTGAACCAAGAGACATTAAAGATGCTGTCATTTACTGGATGGACACCTGTGAAGACATGAAGACAGACAACATGGGACCAAAGAAGAAAAGGTGAATAACAGATCTGTCCACAGTCAGATGATCATTTTAACGTACCACCCACCTATTATTATACAAACATTACATTTTTTTCCGTGTTTTTTTTATCAGCCTTTTATAAATACTACATCACAAAATTCATATTGATGTTTATCTTTAAATTTTCGGTTATTTTGGCTATTTTTTAGCTACAGGTTTGACTGGAAAATTGCTATAAAAGTCGTGCTGAACATTTTGCACTCAGGAACTGCAAACAAGCTCCATAATTTGCAAATTTTAAGGAAGACCGCAAATATTTTAACGGTGTCCCACTATCTTCCCCCATCGTCTAATCTGTGGCCCTAACATTAAGTTTAATTAGCTGCAGATGTTACTGCGAGATTCATACCATGAATCTGTTTTGATAGCAAGGACAGGATCTACCTGGTAATATTTTAAAGTATATGTTACCATGTATGTTATTATGTTGACAGAACGTTGAGGAGAAAATCCACCCCTCACCTCCACCCTGGTCTTTTTCTGTCCTCCTGTCGTCTCTTTGCTGCACTCTAGACCTGATCAGCTTGACCTCACGCAGGCGAAACAGAGCAGATATTGCTGTTGCTCCGGGCAACGCCGCTGCCACACTTAACAGTCCTGTTTCCACAGAGACTGCTGACAAATCCAGAATACCAAACTCCAATGGTAACTGTAGTCCAGGTATGAAAAAAAAGAAACATGTGTTGAACATACGTTCAACATGTCGTATCTCAATTGCGGCCTCTGTGTTAACAGTAAAATGACCTGTTCATTGGTTTGTGATACAATTACTGCGTTGACGCAGGCGTAGCTTAACAGCAGGAGCAGACACACACTGAGTCTCTGAGCATGTGAGAACTCGTTGGGGCAGGGGCAGCTGTACACAGACATCCAGATGTGGAAGTCAGCCAAGAGGTCAGATAATGTAGCACGTAGCATCTGCAAGCACACGGAGGAAGAAGATATGAGAGATCTGAGTGAAACTGCTTCATTTGTGGGTTTTTTAAAGTCTTCAGGTGTGATTCTACCTCAGAAAAGCTAATGCCATGAGTACAAACATGCAGCGTCCTCTGCACTCGCCCGTCACCTTCGTTTACAGCCAGCCAGCACTGTCCACGGAAAAACCAGGCACGGCCGCTCCTACCTCCCCCGGTCACCTAGATGTCAATTAGATAAAGTCGCAGTTAATTAGCAGTTCAAACACAGAGCACGTTTACAAACTCAGAAGCTGCGGCCTCTCCACCTCAGACACCTCCACCTTCTTCAGGTACCAGCTGGGAGAATGTCCAGAGTTGTCGTGCCAGATGTGAAGCCCCCAGACTGAGCCCAAACTCTCAGCTGTGCTGTGGAGTCAAACAAAAACACAATTGGACAAAGTAACGTTTAAATCACGATTTAATTGATGCCTCCACCAAGTGTTGTGCATCATTTTTCCAGGGTCACCTGAGTATAAACGTGTCTCGAGTGTTCCTCCTGAACAGAGGGCAGCTCGCAGCCTGGAGTTGTCTTATGTTTGAGACACCGTCGTCACCATGTAGCACGATGTAAACCTGACAAATGCATAGACACAGACTCTCAGTCACAACAGTACTGCACCGTACTGTTTTCATCGGTTTGGTTAAACCTGACCCAGTCTTTTTTGGCCAAAGACACAGTAGAAAAATATAAATAAATGAGAGTGATACTGAGAATGGATATTGAAGGGTTTTACTCATGATTAAGTGCGATGTGATAACAAGCAGCAACAGGATTTTCCTCATTCACACATGATAAGAACAGACATTAAGCGTTTAGATCAGGTAGCAGCCACCTAGCCACCTAGCGCCTGACCTTTGCACTCATGGAGGCAGCGGAGCAGAGACCAGTGTGGACAGTCACAGCATAAAAATACAGGTCAGATGGAGAGTTGTTGGAAAGATAATGGACTCTCTGATTCTTCTTGTTAGTGTCGTCGACTCTTCTACACACCAACAACCCGGGGATGTAGAGGCAAAGCACCACCACCAACAGCAGCAGCAGCACAGTTTGGTTGCAGGAGTCACTGATGTCATGGCGACAGAGAGGATGGAAGAACAGAACACAGAGAAAAATGTCTTCAGATTTGTTAGTTATTAATGAAGATGTTTGTAGACGGGGTGTCCAGTGTGGGGTCACCTTATGAACAGGTCCAGATCTTCTGAGTGGTGACTGGTCTGGATCTGGTTCTGAGTCACAGTCAGTGGCCTCAGCTGGTGGCAACTGAAATCAGCAGCAAAGACCAGGAGGTAAGAAATGATGACATTTTGCGTTTGATTTGATATAGGTATCTGTAGGTCACATGACCCAGGCGTGCATGTATTTATTATTATATTTATTTCACTTATTCTCATGTTTTTCCTCTGTGAAGGTTATGACCTCAATTATTACCTGCAGTTGACAGCTGAGGAGCCATCTTCCTGCTGTGTCTTGCAGCCTCCAGGTGTCCAGGCCCCCTGGTGGCTGTCCCAGGACAAACATTGGCTGCTGACCACTGAGAGGCTGTAGCTGATTGGTTCACTCATGTGTTTGGTTCTGGGTGATTTCTCAAAATCAGCATTCAGCAGCGCCAGGTAACCAACTCCTGCAGCTAAATATGAGTTTGGAGTGAGAAAATGTAATGAAAAGAATGTCATGCACAGTGTAGGATTTTTGTGTCGATCGGTACATTTTGCATGTCAAATTGAATGTACTATGTTTGGTAGAATTTAGAAATATCCAACCTGAACTGTAAATGCTGCCATTACTTACAAAGTATTTTCACATGTCATTTTTTGTAAATATACATTATAACACAGTAAACGTGTGAGTGATAGGAGACATGAGGTTTTTACCATTGAGGTAGGATGGAGGCAGAGTGATGCGACTGTTGATGCTCTCCCAGTTGTGAACCCTGTGCAGGTGGTGCATGCTGGGAGTCGGCATCTCAAACATCCTGTCAAAACGTGTTAGACTTGTCAACTTTCTGCTGATTTTCAGCTGATGTTTTTTTTTTCACAAAAAAAGAACCTTGGTTTTGACAAAGCTACCTGAACAGCATCTTGATGGGAAATGGATTTTTGAGTGGCGAAGTGAACACCACACTCAGCTGGATGGCACTCTGTAGGTTGTGCTGAGTGATGTTGAAGCTGTGATAGTTGATCTGGCTGTGAAGGAGGATGTAGCTGTGCATCAGGCTTTCCTGTAGCGGAGAAGTGATGACATGATGAAATTATTGCCAGTGTTGCAACGCAGGTTCTATGTTGAAGCTAAACTAAATTAAACTAAAAGTCCAGTCTGAGTTCAGTCTCTGAGGTTTCAGGTTAAAGAATGAGACACAGGAGAAAAACACATCAACCCATAAATTCAGGTCAGAATCTGAGTCACTGAAATAAATCCAGTTTCAAGAATGAGTCTGAATCTGAGTAAATATTTGAGCGTGAACGAGAATGTGCTAGTTCTTGGTGACTTGTTAAACCTAATGGACACACCTCATTTTTAAGATATTTAAATTTCAAACATTTTTGAAACTATAATGTTTTGACTTTGCTCCATTGGTATTTTTTTATACACAGAGAATAAGGTAAACATACATTTCGTGGTAGATGCTGCAGCTTGATGTCGATGGGCAGAGCCAGAGAAGGAACAGGAATCTTTCTTCTCCTTTTACACTCGTAAAGACTCAGGTCAACCACTGGTCCACTGAGCTGGAAACCACCAGAGGGCAGAAGATTTATTGTTTAAACCATTACAGACAGGGGAGATGTTGGTGTGTTCCTCACCTGTGTGGAGCACCGTGTGCAGGTGTAAGGGTTGTGTTTGAGCTCTGTCATCAGGCTGACGACACTTAGGTGAGGCCGGACAAACAGATGATGGAGGAGAGGAGCGGGCAGGTAGACAGTGGTGGAGCCACTGCTGACGACCGCAGAGGTTTGATTTAGTCGTACAACATATAAGGTCATGTGACCTGTGGTGACTGTGTGCTGCTGGACTTTGTTAAATAAAATGTACTTCTGCAAAAGCAAAGAAAGATTTTAAAATTAGAGTGGTTTGCGTCAGTTGAAGTGCTTCCATGACAAATATTCTCTGGTCTCACCAGCATCAGGTCTGCTGCAGTGTGAAGAACATCAACGACAGCCTGAGTCGTCTGCTCTGCTGACACAGATTCTTCCTGTTGTCTGGGGCGATCATTCGTGCTTGAAGCTGGTACGCAGCTGCGTGAAGACGAGACGTCGTTCCTGGTATTTTCAGCAGCCTGTGATTCCGAGACCTCTCCATTATTATCCATGTAGGGCTTTTCATTTGTGAGGTGTTGCTGTGTGACAGCAGCTTCCATGGTGTGTGAGAGAATAACAACCAGGCTGTTGATGGTCTGATGATCTAGACGAAAATGTGCTGACTCCAAAAACTGGTCTGAAATGACCTGGATGAGACTTGTCACATGTTTGACACTTGCTAAAGTGACCTAAAATAAATAAAATAAAATAAGTTAAATTATTATTTTAAAGTGTATGTACACCGAGAGCTTCTTCATACCTGGTGTGTAACCAGCAGAAGGTCTTGGAGGATATAGATGGTGTCTACCCATGATGCCTGTGGATTAAATTACAATGTTGATGATGACATTAAGATGAAAAAGTCATCGGTCAATCTATATGTCGATCTATACGTCTTCACCTGATGGCTGCTCCAGAGTTCACACAGTGTACAAATGAGAACACTGCGTATGTGTCTCTGTTCCAGTGCATTAGCCTGGGCGTCCAGACTGAGTCTGTTCAGGATGCTGCAGAGGAGACTGATGTAGTTACAGACCTCAGCACTGTTTCCCAGCTTCAACAGAGCTAGAAGGTTCCTCAGACCCACGTCTGACCTGGATGTCATGTAATTCACCACATGATTATTATTATTATTATTATTATTATTATTATTATTAACATTGATGACTCTTACAGTTCCAGGTCTGGATCAGCAGAAGGAGAAGAAGCATCTCTGATGAAGCTTGGTCGGACCTGGACGATGACTGGACAGGGTTTAGTGGATGTTGTGTGTGTGCTGCTTCTGATCGTAATGTAAATAATTACTAGTGTGGGGAAAAAACATATAGAAGGAGAGGATGTTGTAAATGCTCAGAAATAGTTGATTGACATTGGTTTCTGCGTTCCTGTTTTTCACCTTTGAAGTCATCAGCAGGGTCACCTGAAGGAAGGCTGAAGTAATACTGGAAGTCTCTTCCCTGGTACAAAACCCTGGCAGGTTTGTCTCCTACACTGAAGCTGTACTCGTATAATAAATCCTTTAAAACACACACACACACACACACACACACACACACACACAAAAAAAAAACACAAACACACTTTGCCATGAAACTGTCTTACATGTGACCACAGAGCTCAGGTGGTCTAAAACCAGCAGTTACCTGTTTCCCTGATGTACAGAAGATGCTGAAGTGAGTGTGTAACTCTGCCCCAGTGACCGGCAGCACCTGACACCTCACGCCCTGTGGAGCGGCTTTGGTTTCTAAGAACAGCTGAGTCCTGCCAACAAAATGATCCCGGGACTCTGAGAAACACAGGTAAAAAATTGAATTACACTCGTACCTTCAGGCATCACTGGGAAAACAAATGGTGGTCTAACCGAGGTGTAAGGATGTAATGATTGGGTTTTGTGGCGAGGCTAGAAAACACTTATTTCATTATATAAATTATATATATATATATATATTATTAGTATGGAACAATGCCTGGGGAAATAACAGATATATTGAAAATAAGAAACTTAAAAGTCAAGTAATCAAATGAAAACAGAGAGTCTGTCTCCTGCCTGCACAGTTATACATCATGCTTAACACATAGATGACTCAAACACATATGATAGTACAGGACAAATAATAATTAATAGACAAGTATTTTAATTTCTACTAGCTAGGTCAGGCATGGGCAAACTACGGAACGGGGGCTGGAAGCGGCCCGTTTGGCTTTTTAATCTCGCCCACTGAACTTGTCCAATTTATGTTATACATTTTTATTATCATTATACTTCTGCCTTTTCCCTGCAATGTCTGCATTTCCCCAATAGATAATAGCAGCAAAGGCTAAAAGCAGCAAAGGTTAGCATTTTAACCAAGTAATGATGCATGTCATTTGTCTTAGTTCATCCAAACACTCCATTTAACTGCTCTCAACCTGGACGGTTAAATTTACGGACCTGTTGTGGCCCGCAAGTTAAAAAGTTTGCCCACATCTGAGTTTGGTTGTCTGTCACATGACACAAAATGATTTTGATGTTTTACTTTTTGTCCACTGTTGAGTAAAAAAAGAAAAATCAATAAGAAACCGTTGTTACCAACAGCAGACTAGAGCTTCTCTTCTGGGCTCAAACCCAGGGCTGAAATAATATCTGACAAATTATCAATTTTATATTATAGCAATGCCTATAGCAATGGAGACAGGTAGGAAAGTGCTAGGTATGTCCTCTGGGCAGAGAAAGGAGGACAAAGAGACCTGGTGGTGGAATGAGGAGATCCAGGAGAGTGTGCAGAGGAAGAGATTAGCGAAGAAGAGATGGGACAGTGACAGAACAGAAGAGAACAGACTGGAGTACAAAGAGAGGACAAGGGAGGTGAAGAGGGAAGTGGCCAAGGCCAAACAAAAGGCATATGAGGAGTTGTATGAGAGTTTGGAAACAAAGGAAGGAGAAAAGGAGTTGTATAGATTGGCGAGACAGAGAAATCAAGCTGGGAAGGATGTGCAGCAGGTGAGGTTGATTAAGGACAGAGAGGGGAATGTGATCACAAGTGAGGAAAGTGTGCTGAGAAGATGGAAGGAATACTTTGAGGAGTTGTTAAATGAGGAAAATGAAAGGGAAAGTAGAAACGAGGAGCCAGAGACTAGTAGGAAGAAGGTAGATCAGGTTAGAAAGGATGAAGTTAGAAAAGCCCTGAAGAGGATGAAGAGTGGAAAGTCAGTTGGTCCTGATGACATACCAGTGGAAGTATGGAAGTGTTTAGGAGAAGTGGCAGTAAATTTCCTGACTGGTTTGTTTAACAGAATTTTAGAGACTGGCAAGATGCCTGATGAGTGGAGAAAAAGTGTTCTGGTGCCAATTCATAAGAAGGGTGATGCACAGAGTTGTAACAACTACAGAGGGATAAAGTTGATGAGCCATACAATGAAGATTTAGGAAAGAGTAGTTGAAGCTAGGTTGAGGCAGGAAGTGGAGATTTGTGAACAACAGTATGGTTTCATGCCTAGGAAGAGTACCACAGATGCAATATTTGCCTTGAGGATGTTGATGGAGAAGTACAGGGAAGGTCAGAAGGAGCTGCATTGTGTATTTGTAGATCTAGAAAAGGCATATGACAAAGTGCCAAGGGAGGAATTGTGGTTTTGTATGAGGAAGTCAGGAGTGGCAGAGAAGTATGTTAGTTTGGTGCAGGACATGTATGAGAATAGTACAACAGTAGTGAGGTGCGCTGTTGGGAGGACAGAAGACTTCAAAGTGGAGGTGGGACTACATCAAGGATCGGCCCTGAGCCCCTTCTTGTTTGCTGTGGTGATGGACAGATTGACAGATGAGGTCAGACAGGAGTCCCCATGGACTATGATGTTTGCAGATGACATTGTGATCTGTAGTGAGAGTAGGCAGCAGCTAGAAGAGAACCTAGAGAGGTGGAGGTTTGCACTAGAAAGAAGAGGAATGAAGGTCAGTCGCAGCAAGACAGAGTACATGTGTGTAAACGAAAGGCAGAACAGTGAAATAGTGAGGCTACAAGGAGCAGAGGTGGTGAAGGTGCAGGAGTTTAGGTACTTAGGATCAACTGTTCAGAGCAGCGGAGACTGTGGAAGAGAGGTGAAGAATAGAGTACAGGCAGGATGGAACAGCTGGAGAAAAGTGTCAGGAGTGATCTGTGACAGAAGAGTGTCAGCTAAGGTGAAGGGAAAGGTTTACAGGACAGTGGTGAGACCAGCCATGATGTATGGTTTAGAGACAGTAGCAATAGGCAGAAGACAGGAGGAGGAGCTGGAGGTGGCAGAGTTAAAGATGCTAAGATTCTCTTTAGGAGTGACAAGAATGGACAGGGTCAGGAATGAGGTCATTAGAGGGACAACACAGACAGGAAGGTTTGGAGAAAAAGCTAGAGAAGCCAGATTGAGATGGTTTGGACATGTGCAGAGGAGGGACAGTGGATACATTGGTAGAAGAATGTTAGAGATGGAGATACCAGGTAGGAGAAAGAGAGGAAGGCCAAAGAGGAGATATATGGATGCAGTGAGGGAGGACATGCAGAGAACAGGGAGAGATGGAAATCAATGATCTGCTGTGGCAACCCCTGAAAAAAAAGGGACAAAGCTGAAAGAAAAAGAAGAAGAAGCAATGCCTCTGTCAGTCAGTAATGTAGAGAAATCTTACTGGCAGTGACATCCAGCATGTATCTGCTGCTGGGCTTCAGACTGAAGGGTTTGACTCTGAGCACAGAGGAGAAAATTCCTGTATGGACAGGAAATACAGTAGACAAAGGTTACTGACAGTAAATATTGACACAGTGAGAGTGAAGGTAGATAAGTGTAATAAACCAAATACCTGTGTAAGTGTAGGACTCAAAGAGGGCTGTGTGCACCAGGTCCCTGGGTAAATCCAGCAGCGTTGGATGTAACGTCTGGTGAAAAGGTAGAGAGACAACCAGGTTACTGCCCTCACCTTTATGGGCTGTGGGGTCAAACACTGAGTCGTCTCCTGGACTGAAGCTTTCACCATCCACACCTGTGGATACACACCAGGTGCATTTAGAACATCTCTCACTGGTTTGAATAGAAGTAACCGACACAGATAAGTGTTCACTCTGTACCTGATGGTCTTCCTGCAGAGCTTCCAGGATCTCCTTCCTCTGCACTTGGAAAATAAGCATCATAGTCCACATCTGCAATAAATATTTTTCTCAGAAAAGATGGAGGGTGCAAGGGTAAAAGTGCTAAAATATCTAAAATGATTGTCTTTATTGACAGGATGGGCCTTTTATTTCTCTGTAAGACCGTTTCAGATTTTAAAATGTCAGTTAAGACTTAATGTTAGTATTAATGTTGTGCGATAGAAATACAGATAATAAATATGTTAGGTATAGGTAGCTATATAGCTAAATAAAAAGGCATTTAGTGAGTGGATAGGGTCAAATTATCACTGAATATAAAATTGAATATAAAATCTGTACATGACAGAGATGACGTGTTGGTTGGATTATAAAGTTTAGGGCACCGTTGAACCACCTTATGGTTGGTGGATGCTTTTTGTGCTGGCCAGGGATTGGTGGCTAAGAAAATTACATGTAATGTAAGATGGTAGATAGTAAACAATGGAAGTCATTTTTCAAAAATGTTCATGCTCACAACATAGTTAAAACAATAAGCAATGTCTCTAAAATACCTAAAATACAGGACAGTGGTTAGCAGAAGCGTTGTATTATCTGGTTACCACAACGACCACAGTGGATTATGGTAATGTTTACCTAGAGTTTGTGTAAATATGAGCGATAATATGCAAATTGAAGTGTTGTTGAACTGAAATTTAGTTGGTGGACGCTTCTTACATCAATAATGCCCAACATTATGGTTTCTGAATTTTTATTTTTTTATTGTTGTACGTGAGCCAAGTCAGTAAGCTCAAGTGTGCTCACCTAGTCCACTTGCCACTTCACCACTTCCCAGGTCAGGTAATGATAACACCCACTCAGCAGAGGAGAGAGAAGACATTGAAAATTCTCCAAAATCATCTACTTGACCAGCATGTTGTGGCAGCAGGTGTTCAGTGGACAGATGGTCCTCTGAATCAACCAGGCCTAGATGTTGTTCCCAGCCTCTAGATTCAGAGATGGCCCTGGTCTGCAGTGAAGAGACTTCATCAGGGAAAGTGAGGGAGTGATGTTGAGACTGGGTGGAGGTCCGTGACATCTGAGAAGTGGAGGAACCCTGTATGATTGTGGAAGGAACACCGAGATCTGCAGCGTAACAAAATGGCACTAAAACAAAAAACAGAAGACCAAAAGTGAGTTCCTTTTATAAAATTCATATTTATTGAAAAGATAATCATGACGATGCAGTTGTTGTACCTTCAGTGTCGCCTCTGGAGGAGGCATTGACCAGGAACAGACTCCACCTGTACTCGAGATGTTCTGGAGAAACACCACAGTCTTTACATGAGGTACTGATGGACAACATCTGATCCCAGTTCATCTGGTTTCCATCACAGGTATGGCAGTAAACTGACAGCTGCCTGGATAAAAAGATAGAAGATGTATTTGATCTTTGTATGTGCCAAAAAGATTTATTTTAGCAGCATTGCTAACCATACGATTAGGGCTTGTACTGTATGTAAAAAGACACGGTGTGTGTTTTTGACTCTCACCCCAGCAGATTCAACGTAGCAGTGATAAAAGTCTCTGATGAAGCAGAACGCTCGCCACTGTTTACAGTGAGCGTGAACTGGAACTGGTCAAAGTTGTCTTTCAGAACGTTGGCAGGGAATGTGAGCACAGCGGAAGAGGTAGAAATGTTGACGACGGGATCAAAGCAGGAAGCAGGGATGGAGCTGAGAGGTTTACATGTCCAGCTGTAGCTGTGAGGGAAAGAATCGGGGAAGACATAAACTATTTAATTGTTTAAAGTTTGTGTTCTATAAAGCACTAAATCAAATGTGTCAAACTCAAGACCTGGGGGCCAAATGTGGCCCGCCAAGTTGTTTTGTGTGGCCCGCAGGAGCTTTTAAAAAAACATACAGTGATACAGCAGCTCATTCTGGGTTGCATCCCATTACCAGGAAACTAGCACTGTCCTGGCTGAGGGCTGTGCCTCCTGTAGCTTAATGCTATTCAGAATGCTTTAAATATTTGACAAAGGCTGCAGTGAGAAGGGCGTTTAAAGTACATTTTTACCACAACCTCAAATATTTGCACTGCACTGTATATACATCAGTGTACTGTAGAGGGTTTCTACCTGAGTGGGTTGGAAGGAAAGTCCAGGTCATGTGATTCCTTCCCATCCAGTGATATTATGGCAGTTGTCTTTATGTTTATAAAAAGGTTGGTTCCTTGTCGTACAACAACCACAGGAGGACTTGGAATGACTTCAATTTTTATACTGTAGTTGTTGTCCGCGACGCTACCAATGACCTGGACCTGAGGAAAAATAACCAAAAAAAAAAAAAAGTCATGATTGAAGTAAATGACAATCACAGTGAAAAAGAGATAATGATTTATTCTGTACTATGACCAGATAGACAAAGGTTAACTAAATATTTCCTTGTGTTCTCTCAAGCTAAAAATGTTGATTTTGTCAATGGAGTTTGGTGCAGGAGCTCTTTAAACTTTATAATCTTATATATATATATATATATATATATATATATATATATAAATGAAAATTGACTGTGAATATTTTGACTTCTTTGACCGCAGCACTGAATATGTCACATTATAAAACAGTAACTTCTACACCAACAATTTCTTTAAAACCACAAGCAAAGAGTTATACAGATTTTTTTCTGCGTTTATTCCACAATCCAAACAGTCCAGATGAGTTTATCCGTCCCATTTATACAGACAGTGTCATGTGTTTAATCACTCACCCTGGCTATGGCAGTGTAGGTGTCATACTGTAATGAGTGGCTTGGCAGTATCAGAGTCTGTCTGTGAGCATCTGTCACAGGCAGATCTAAGGTCCGGCCTGTGGAGTCGGACAAGGTCCAGCTGTAGTTCAGACCTTCAGCTGAGTCGCAGTCAAGTTCTGTGTCAAAGGTCACTCCCACATGGACAACCTCACTCCTTCGAACCTAGATGTAGAGATGCTGATGAGTCCACTTTTTTCTTACACAGGTTCGGGACCAAGTAATACTCCTGAATGTGTCAGTACCTGTAGTTTGATGGGACCCATGTTTTTGACTGGTGGAGGTTGACAAGGTCGGTCCACCACGAAGATGTGACTGCTCAGAGAGGCAGAGCTGACCAGGTTGAACACAATCACTTTTACTGTCAACTCACCAGATCTGCAGACAGAAACATTCTGTTAAGAATACTGTTAAAAATATATACAGTATGTCACAAAAGTGAGTACACACCTCACATTTCTGCAGAGATTTCATTATAATGCTTAATTGAACAACACTGAAGAAACATCGCTTTGATACAATGAAAAGTAGTTTGTGTAAAGCTTATATAGCAGTGTAAATTTATTTTTCCCCTCAAAAAAAACTCAAAATATAGCCATTAGTAGCTGAACCCCTGGCAACAAAAGTGAGTACACCCTAAAGTGAAAGTTCCTGAAGTGTCAATATTTTGTGTGGCCACCATGATTTTGCAGAACCACCTTAATCCTCCCGGGCATGGATTTCACCAGAGCCTCACAGGTTGCCACTGGAATGCTCTTCCACTCCTCCATGACAACATGACATTCCCACCACCATGCTTGACTGTAGGCACGACACAAACATCTTTGTACTCCTCACCTGGTTGCTGCCACACATGCTTCACACCATCTGAGCCAAATAAATTAATCTTTGTCTCATCAGACCAGAGGATATTTTTCCAGTAAGCCATGGCCTTTGTTGACATATCCTCAGCAAACTTTTGGCGGGCTTTCTTG